AAGCAGCAAATAAACATGAAAAAATGTTCAACATCACTGGTCATTCGAGAGATGCAAATGAAAACAACACTGAGATGCCACCTCACCTCAGAAAGAATGGATGCTATCAAGAAATCAAACAATAACAAATGTTGGCGGGGGTTGTGGGGAGAAAGGAACCCTTCTCCATTGTTGGTGGGAGTGCAGACTGGTATAACTACTGTGGAAATCAATATGGAGATACCTCAAAAACTAGGATTAGAGGTCTCATTTGACCCAGCTATTCCTCTGCTGGGTATCTTCCCCAAAGAATTAAAAGAATCATACCACAGTGATATATGCACACCTATGTTTATAGCAGCACAATTTGTAATAGCTAAACCTTGGAAACAGCCCAATTGCCCATCAACTGGAGACTGGATAAAGGAGACGTGTTTTTTTTTTTTTATAAAATGGAATACTACTCAGCCATAAAGAGCGAGAAACTAGAGACATTTATAGCTAATTGGATGCACATTGAGGACATACTCTTAAGTGAAATAAATAGGACACACATGTGTAAATACTGAATAGTTTCTCTGGTGTGAAAAACTAAAAGTGGCCTGCTGTGCAAGCGCAAGGACCAGAGTTCAATTCCCGGTACCTAAAAAGAAAAAAAGAAAAACTAAAAGTGTAAATAAGGATCAAAATGTATAATTGATATTGTGAAATAGGAAGAAAAGATCTAAAAGAGTAGGGGAAGTGGGAGGGGTAGGGGAAAGGAAAGAAGGGAAAAGAAAAAATATGAGAAAAAAAAAGAAAATGGAAACAAAGTCTTTGTAAATAAGGAAGGGTGGAGGTGGTGAAGGGAGGGTAGGGGAATGGGGACAAAATAAGAACCAAGATACATTATGTAAAGGTACATGATCCCAATGATGAATGTAACTGTACTGTATATCTAAAATGTACCAATAAACTTAATGGGAACAAAAAAAGAAATCAGTACATTGAATTTAAGGGTAGAAATTTAAAAATGCACAGAGAAGAGCAAGTGTTTCATTTTTTGGAGTCACATGTGGTACAATAAGATACTATGCATATTTTTGAGTGAGAAACTTAAGGATTTTGATATAAATACTAAAAACCAACCCATACCTACATCAAAGAACCTACCTGACTATGATTAGTGAAGAAACAGTTCTGTTGTGAACTGGAGTAAACTTTACTTGGACAGATTTCTTTTCTCCAGGTTTTAAAATTAGGTTTAAAATGAAATGTCGAGAGGGGCCCTCCGTAAATCCTGTTGAACTCTGCAGAGGATGAACCTGGAATCATTGAGCAGACAAACAGGAGTTATTAATATATTGCCTGGAAAATGTTTTTTCCCTTATCCCACCTGCAGCCTGGGAGACTTCCTCAAATTGATTACGTATGCAAATGATTTAACCTTCACAATTGAGACACTGGTCACCTGGCAACCAGAGCTGGGCACCCAGAGATGAGACTTCGTATCCTGCAAGAAGTCCATAAATGGCTTTGCTCTCAGGTCACCAAAGTCCTCAGTTTTGCACTAGGTGTTTGCTTCTATGCACAGATTTTTTTTTGGGGGGGGCGGTACTGGGGATCAAATTCAGGACCTTGTGCTTGCCAGGCAGATGTGGCACCACTGAGCTAAATCCTCGGCCACTTATGCACAGATATTTTAAACCTTGACAGGACACATACACAGAAAAGGACACAGACCTAAGGCAAACAACAGCTTGAGGCAGGCACAAAGGAAATATCTGCATAAGCAGCACCCTCAGGTCCTCCTGATGTTGCCCCATCCCTCCCCACAGAAGGAGCCAACTGAGGATGTTAGGTCATGTGTTTTATTTGTAAAAATATCTCTAATTCACACTATTTCTGCTTGAATTTTATTCTGAAAACTAGGCACATAGTTACTGCTTCATAAACACTTGATGATTGAAAGTTTAGAGAATGGTTTAGTTTAGTATCTAAAATCTGACTTTTTGATGGCCAGTAACAAATAAGGTTGAAAAGCTTTGTAAAAAAATTAAAAAACACCCCATGGTTCACATTTAAGATACACTGTTTTGACTGTTAAGTAGAATCGAGCCTAAACATTCAGGCAGGAGGGCTATATGTGACCCCAGCTCTTCACGGCCCTGATGATGCCAGGAAAGTCCCCTTACATGGACAGGTTGCACACCATAACCGATAGGCTAAAATGGATCTTGAAAAGTTAAAGATAAGCTATTTCTTCAACTTCATCTGGTGACAGCAGAAACTTTCACCCCCAGCCTTGGTGCCAAAGAGGTTTGAACAGAACTGGGCTTTCAACATTTTCTGGGCCTTCTGGTGGCAAAGCCTGGGAAATCTACTCATGCCTACTTCCTGGCTTTTGTGCCTTCAAGTGAGGTGGGGTAGCTGCCCTCCCAATTTGGCCAAATTGTGAATATAGTCATTTTTCCATTTTTATAGGTTCTTCTTGTACTCTTGATGACAGGCAGGCAAATCCAGGCAGGGCCCAGATTTAGGACTCTGACCCCACCCCATTTGCCCCCCAGTAAGGGACAGGTCTGTCTAGTTGTATCAGCACAGGTCTACAGATAGCACTTACAGCCATGGACTCTAGGCAGCACAGTACTTCTTAACTCTTGCTTCTGAGGAAAATTTTTCTTCCACATCTTACATTGCTTTCTGTCAATGCCTACTAGGACAACAGAATATTCTGAGTGCTCTAAGGTGCCTGGTTAATAAGCTCTCTTTTAAATATTCTTGGTAATTTATGGATACAATGATATACATGTATTTCCAACAAACACTAGTGAATTTAAACTCTGATAAGGTGGGAAACACTGCAGGGTGATGCAGTGATATCCTTCAGGCTATCACTAAGGTCCAGTTCTCCGAGTGACCTGTGAAGCCTTGGGGATTTCAGAGATCCTTTCAGGGTATTCATGATGTCAAAATTATTTTCACAATAATACTGACATATATTATTTGTATTTTCATTGCACAAGGGAGGGTAAAACTGCTAACCCTTTCCCTTGAATCCGGGCAGTGGTGTCAAACTTCCTGAGTGGCCATAGCATGGTTCACTGCCATGCACTTGTAGTGAGAAAAAGAAAGTCCTTAGCTGGGTATGGTGGCATGTGCCTATAATCCCAGAACTCTGGGAAACTGAGGTGGAAGGATCTCAAGTTTAAGTCCAGCCTGGGCAACTGAGTGAGACTTTATCTCCAAAATATAAAACTAAAAAGTTTAAAAAGTGCAGGGGATATAGCAATAATAAACACTGAGTTTATGAATCTCGTCCTGGGGCTCATGTTCTGTAATACTTTAATAAAAAGGGAAGTATGCAGAGATCAGTCCTCCAACACACACTGGACAGCTTGTGCTGTCCTGAACCACTACTGTATTTGAGACAAAACGAACTAGCTAATGACTATTCAGACTTGAGTATCTGGCAGGCACTTTCATGAAAATAAAGGATTCTGTGCCCTTAAGGAAAACAACGCAAGTATTTGTTGTCAATGATGAAAAGTAAGTTTTTGAGCAAAACCTGGAATTTTGTATAAATTGTATTCACTCCTATGAGCTTGGCAGCTTTCTAGTACTCAACTTTCTGATGAGATTGGTGGCTATATTAATGAACGTGATTTTCTGGATACTGTATAGTTAACTGTGTCAGGATCTGTAAGGTCTGCATATATCAGTGAATCAGTATTTTCCCAGTAATTCATATACAGTATTATGACTAGAAAGACAAGATACTCCTTGTTTCTCCAATTATATGTATCAGGTCAGATTTTCATCAGCTAGTTTCACTAAAAAACTTATGAAAGAATCAATGAAGCACTTATGAAAATCCATCTAGTTTTCATTTTTTATTTTATGTATGTTAAATTGAATAGGCTTATTATTTTAAGTGAATGAAATTAATATATTAAAGACCTCTCAATTTCAATTTTTAATATGCTGAAATATTAATAGAAGTAATTTATATAAACAAGAAATCTCTCTGGGCTCCTTAATGACTCTGAGATGTAATGGAACCCTGTGACCAGATACTGTGAGAATCACAATGCTATGGTACTGTAGAACACTGGTATAGAATTTATCCTAAGCTCCTCCTAGGACTCTTCTGGAATTTTTTATTTAGAATTTCTGAGGTCTAGAGTATTTATTTATTTTCCTACGAAGTGTTCTAGTTCAGTGCATTATATCTTACAAATACTATTTGTATGCAATAAAATAAAAAAGTAATTATTAGTTCATTTATGACTTAAATTGTATTTTTTTTTCTCGTAAAGTTCTGGTTACTGAGCTTTCCTGATCTCCTCCAATAAATCTGTTACACTGGCATTTTATGAATGGGAAAAGCAAAGCATACAGATTCCAAGAGAAAAAAGGCATGATACTAGAATACACAACTGTCTAAATTTCAATCTGGTTTTCCAGCCATTAAAACCAGCCTCTAAAAAAAAAAAAAAAAAAAAAAAAAAGGAGCTGCCATGGGAAAGAACACAGTATTTCAAGAAGTATAAGATATCTGTTTTGACGAGGTTACTGAGCACTTCCTAATGAGCAATGATCATGTGGTAAGACAGTATGGACAAGAGGTCTGGAATCTGAGAACTGGATTTGAATTGGCCAGACTGTAGGGGCTTCAGCTCCAAACACTGTCCTCCTCACTGACATGTCCGCCCACATCAAGGCCTTGTCCTATGAATGGCTAGTGGCTGCTCAGCCTGAATGACAGAGAACAGTCTGGTCTCCTAGACCAATCAGCTTGCGTATGTATTTGTGAATTAAGGAGTACCTACTGAGTAAAAAGCTTGGGTACTGTTGTGCCAAGCATGAATACAGCCAGTCATAGGTCTCATATTCATGGGGCTTATACTTTTATTAGAAAGCATTAAGAGACTTAAAATGATCAAGCTCAATATTGTGATACTTACTAAAGACAAATTATGTATTGGTTTATACTTCATTTATATACTCTCAGAATTTCTGGTAGCTTCATGGGCTAATGCCTACAAAGAGGAACCTTCTGCTTAGGGTGCTCAGCGACTTTTCTCAGTTTCTTTTCCCAGTTTCCCTGACTGCCTTAACTTCCTCAGTAGCTTGCCCTTCTGCCAAATTTAAGGGCAGCCAATAGGCTTCTTTCATATTTGCACCAATCACATTACAGAACAGTATTAAGGTTGAATACTTACACTGTTTCTGTAGACTTGGAATTCTAGTGTTCTCAAATCTATCTTTGCCACCTTACTCAAGTTAAACCTAAAATAAAAAATGCACATACATGTCTTGTGAAGTAGCATGAAATCAAAGGGATTATGGACTATATTTTGGACTTTATTTGCAAATTATCTTTTGGCAAGTTTTAGGATCAATATTACAACATTAATAGTCTTCAAATTAAAGGCTATTTACTTTTTAAAAATGTAAATATATGAAAAGTCCTGCCTGTTTTCTCTTTACAAAATTTGGTAGGAGGGAGTTTCACACTGCCTCAAATTGAAAGCTTTTCTAAATGCTGAATGCAGTATGAACCTCCTCACTAGAATCTTCTCTCAACTTTATAGATTTAGAATTTAGTTAAATTAAATCTATTACTGTATCAGCAGCAATAATTTTTAAATGTATAACCAATATAGTACTGTATAGAACATTTTGACCACCTAAACAAAACAATGCTTACCTTGAGACTAACTTATCTACAAAGACTGAAGGGTTGGAATATAAAGCCAGAGGAACAAACTGAACATAGACAGGAACATCTGCAGGATTTTCTAAGGTAATCTCTTCTTCCTTAAACAAAGCAATGAAATGTTAAATCAAAGATTTCTACAGTTAAAAGCAAGAGTAACTACTTTGAATCTTGTTATATAGTTTTACAATCTGATGTTACTTTGAATACTTACTGAGGAGCAGTTTGTATTAGTGAGTGGGAATTTCAAGTGCCGGGGTGAACCAAGTATGGAAGGCCAGGAGAGCTCGGCAGTGATTTTTGATACTATATTTTTCTGAAGGTCTGTATTTACTTCAAATACAGCGCTCAATCTAGAAAAATAATTTGTAAGTCACTATATCAAAATGAGATATTTGAATTGTCTGAACATAAAGAAATTTCACCAGATGTGTATACTTAAGAAAGTTGATTCTGGTCTTGAAATCAACACAGGTTTATTCACTGTCATATTTTCCTAAGCTTTTAAACATAAAGAAATTTCACTAGATGTGTATACTTAAGAAAGGTGATTCTGGTCTTGAAAACAACACAGGTTTATTCCCTGTCATATTTTCTTAAGCTTTTAATGCTACATGATGATGTCTTTATCAAAGGGTTGCCAAAATGTCTATCATTGATTGTATTATTTATTTATTTGGTACTCAGGATTGAACTCAGGACCTTGTGCTTGCAAGGGAGGCATGGTGCCACTGAGCTAAATCCTTGGCTCCCTGTATTGATTTTTGTACTAACTCTGTAAAGGATGACAGACCTTAGGAATAGCTCCAATAGCATCAGTGTAATGGTGTCTAAGTTAAGCCTTTTAAAGGATAAATTCAGTAAAAAAAGCTTGGACTATATTAGATAATATAATTAGAAAAAGCATACATATACAGAAAACATATGATGCAATGGGGGTCCTAAATAATCTTACATGACTAGGGAAAAGATCTAGACCAAACAGCAGGATGTTGGAGTAAAACTAATGAGGTGCCAGTAAACTGCCTGGCATATGGTTTTTACTCCACTCTCACAGAAAAACAAAACTAAATCCTCACATGCAATGTCGATGTCAGTTAAAAAGGTAGAACATTTGCAGGTTTTGAGCAGATAGATGTAAAGTGCTCAGTAACCATTCACGACCTCATTTTAATCTTTCCCTACTTATGACCATTTATAATCCAGCTGTTTTAAACTCGTAACACATTTATAAATGGGGCTAAGGTCTCTGAGACCAAACACTGAAGCCTATTTTAAGTGGAACATGATTGCATTATGAGATTTGGACATTGGCAAGAGTGTAAGTTTTGTAAGGCCAGTAGTAGTAGTTCTTGGTGACATGCATTCTGACAAGATGACATAAAGGCAGGAGCAAGGAGCTTGCTGCACTCACTGTGCCACCAGGGCACAGTGGCACAGGGCAGGATGGTATGGGTGGGGGTGTTGGTCCACAGGGGAAGGCAGGAGTTTTGCTGGTAGGTACAGGGCTCCCTCACTGCTGAGCCCTAACAAGGTATTCGTTCATAACTGGATATTAAACTTGCGCATGGCCTGCATTTCCACTGTGGAGACAGGATGGATACAAAGTGGAGTTTTAATTAGTGTTCTCTTCCTAAGTCTATTAGGAGTCTCTTTGTACCCATTTTAACTGGTTTTCTTTTTTTTGGTACCAGGAATCAAACTCAGGGCCTTGAGCTTGCTAGGCAGGCACTGCAACACTGAGCTATATCCCCTGCTCCCCTTTAACATTTTATTTATTTATTTACTTTTTTGGTACCAGGGATCGAACTCAGGACCTTGCACTTGCAAGGCAGGTGGCGGCACCACTGAGCTAAATCCCTGGCCTTCATTTTAACATTTTAAAGTAAAACTTTAACTTTCTTTTGCCTTAAGACAACTTTTCACAACATATAGAGTTCAGATAACTCTGAGATTTAATCTTTAATGATTTGAGAATTTTATAATACTTGTTAAGTTGGATTTTTTTTTTTTGGAGACAGGGTCTCACTATGTAGTTCAGGTTGGCCTTGAACTCACTACATAGCCGAGGCTGGCCTCAAACTTGTGGCAAGCCTCCTGCCTCAGCCTCCCAAGTGCTGGGATTATAGGCGTATGCCACTGTGCCCACCACAAAGATGGAATATTTTGATTCTGATAAATATATTTCAAATTTGCCAATTAAGAAGACACTTTTCATTACTTGTCATATTATTCTAGAAAAATTCTTTTCTGAAGAATATGAAAAGGCCAGGTTTTTATAATACCAAGTAAATACATCTTTGCTTTTGAATCCAAGTGCAATACTGAGTTGTCATTAGCATATTTTTGACTTGCCAAAGACACAATAGGGAGCCATCTGCGCTGAGGCCTATGTGCCCCCAACAGCCCAGCACTTGGAAATAGATGAGGAAGCTCTTTTCACAAGAAGCAAATGCACATTCATCTTCTGCTCTGAGAACAAGCCCAGAAGAGGAAACATTTTCCTTGCCTTTCACAGAGGTCAGTGAAAGGTAAAAACTACCTTTCTTATGCAAACGAGTGTGTCTAAGGTGAACTCTGTAGTCATCTTACAGAAAGACAATTTCAAATAGTTTTTTTGATTTTAAGGAAATTTCTCAAGTATTGGAGAAAAGAGAAAAATGGTAGTGTGTATTTCTGAGCAACATGTAATTACAATGACAATTTAAGATGCTTCACTAATAACTTTCTGAAGATTAGGCTTATTTTCTTAGCTGTAAAGCAAAATAACCTAATATAAAAATACAGTGACATTCAGAAAGTAATTTATGAGGTGAAATGTTTCAAACTTGTAAAGATCACTAAAATACTTAAAGCAAAACCACTCACCTATGACCTGACTTTTCCTTTATTCCTGTCCATGCTCTGAATAGGCTTTGATGTGAGTCCCAGTCAACATCCCACATATCTTCCTGCATGGCCACCCCAGGCTGAACTTTGGGTTCGGCTGAAACAAGGAAACACAAGTTATGACAGACCTAGCTCCAAACCTAGTTGTCAATTTCCCATCACATGATTTCTATGGTACCAAAAGACAGGGATGAACTTAACAGTGGCAGCCTTTTACTAAGAGAGCATTTGAGGGGAGTGAGACATGAGATGGAACAGTAGAATAACTTACATTTGGATAGAAAAGGCAAGCCAATATAGCAATGATCCCCACACTGCAGTCCAGGATCAAAATAAATGTTTGCAATCTATAAAGAGGCACAGGAGAACTGTGAATCCCAAATCCATACAAGGTCATAATAACAAAGTATTAATGGATGGGAGTTCTCAAGTATAACATTTTCAAACCTTGGACTTTTTTCCTGGCTCCAAGTCTTCCCTATTAGCCCGTAATCGTTTGTAGTAAAATCGCACATCTTCTGACAAAGATCGTATTTGCTGTATCTTTACCTTCTGTGAGAAGGAATTCATAATATTTAAACTCTGATGAACTATTTTCCCCTGAAGGAAGAGAGAAAAAAAAACCACACAAGCTTATTTGTACACAGTCAAATTTTCTTAACATAATATTTCTAGGAAACCACAGCCTAAAGATCTTTAGGATCTAATCAGCTGAAAATATTTAAATTTTAATCGAGCCAAAAAGCCAACCCCCCCAAAAAATTCTGAACTTTTTTTTGTTGTTACGGCATACAACAAAAAAAATTCTGAACTTTTTTTTGTTGTTACGGCATACAACAAAAATTGGGGGACAGATCTTTGCAATCTTGTAAAAATGAATTAAAGTAACAACATTCAGTTTCATGTTAACATATTGAAGATGCCAACAAAAAGACAACTTTAAAAGAAACCCACATTATTTTCTTAAAGGAAGTCTTTCCTTTTTTTATTTTTGAAGACAGGGTCTCACTATGCAGTTCAGGCTGGCCTTGAACTCACTATGTAGCCAGGCTGGCTGTGAACCTGTGATGATCCTCCTTCCTTAACCTCCTGAATGCTGGGATCACAAGTATGTGCCACCATGGCTGGGTTACAAGTCTTTCATTTGTAAAAGAAAAATATTGCTTCTGCCACCAAAGAGATATTGTCTTTTAAAAATATAGATTATCAAGTATCTCATGAAAGTAGCATACAGATTCAGTTCTCAAATAATCAACAACTGCCCTTACCAGCTACAAGCTTCTCTTTATTAGGGTACAGTCATGGTTTAGATGTGAAATGTCTCCCCAAATTCCCATTTGTGTGGAAGGTGACTGGATCATGGGGTGCTCTCCTCAGTGGGTGTCTCCATGGCTGAGTTCAGGAGCTGAGTGTGCTGGGCCTGGCTGGAAATGGGCCCCTGGCGGTGTGACTCAAAGCTCTATCTCCCTCCCTTGCTCTTCCCTTCTCAATCTACCTCCTGGTCACCATGGTCAAGCACCTTTTCTTCTACTATGTACAACTCTAAAAATGACAAAATCTCTCTCTTAATACAGTAACACCTCAGTTCCTGAAAGCTTCTGTTTGCAAACCAAAGTGTTTGGAAAAATTTTGCTTCCATTTATAAATTCTGCATCGGAAGATAAGCACAACTACAGCCATCTTCCCCACACAAACACTAATGCAGCCACCTTCCCCTAAACCGTAAAACTAAGTTCATAAACCGAGGCACAACTGTATTTGGTATTAAAAGATTAATGCACAGGAAAGAGCTGAATGATGGTGATGCTGAGACAAGTACTACTCCTTTAGTAATACAGCCTATTGAAAATAAAACACATTTTCTAATCTGTTCCACTGGTCCTCAGGTCTGTTTCTTTCTTTTTTTTTTTTGGTACCGGGGATCAAACTTGGGTCCTTGCACTTGCACAGCAGGCAGCGAAACCACTGAGGTAAATCCCCGGCCCTCAGGTCTGTTTCTTTGCCAGTACCATGCTGTTTTTATCACAGTAGCTTTGTAGTAGAGTTTCAAGTTGGGGGTTATAATACCTCCTGCCATGTCTCTGTTATGTAGAATTGCTTTTGCTATTCTGGGTCTCTTCTTGTTCCAAATGAATTTTTGGATTGTTTTCTCAAGGTC